TCGTTTGATGATTAGTTGTGAGGATAGACGTCTAGTTGATTTGTATGGACTCTTGGCAAAATCTGGTGAAGGCATTGCCAACCACGAAAAAGCCGCTTGCGTGTGGCTATGTCAGGCATTAGCAATGCGACATTTGGCTCTAAATTGGACAGGTATTTGCTGGAAAGCAATAATTTCAAACGATTTAGATTCCAAGTAAGTTTCAAATAATATGCTCTCTTTTTGAAATGAAAAGGGCATTCTACATTACTGTTTTAACAATTGAGCAATGTACAGTTAAAACGAAATTCCTGTGGGACATCACGTGACTCAGTGGAAGTGCTCAATATCACTTTCAGTTGGATACAGGACATGGGACCTCTTTCCCTGCACATGCTGCAAGCTTGCCTTTATTCTCCACTATGTCTTTACTCCCTCTTTTCATTGTCACTCTGTCCTGATACCTCTTGATCATTCAATTCAAAGCTCCATAGGAAAGGGGAATAAGGTTATCACTGATTGAAAAAAATAATCGGTTATCGTTAACATAAAACGCTGTCTCATTGTTTACGCAAGTGCTCTTCAATTCTATTACCATTTTATGAGCTTGTGTATATTCGTTGGAACAATACTATGTGCTCTTTTTGCATTTTTAGTTGTTATTTTGTAGTGTAATGTATTGTTAAGCCTTTCCTGCCTGATTTGTTGCCACAGTGCCCAATTTTGGTCTTTTTTGATCACCATTTCTTCAGTGTTAATAATATTTTGCTGTAGTAGGCGTTGTAGGTTTATTCTAAATGACCCACTGAACTAAGCATTTGATCCGTTGAATTTATGCAAACATTTGAGAATTTCGAAATCATTCAATGTTTACCTTGATCACCTACAAGGATGATCTCCTGTGTTTTTGTGCAAAATATGCATATAACTGCAACCTTTCACACAGTAGCTTACGAGTCTACCAACCCACCTTAATTTCGTTGTTCTTCACATTTCCTATTTCGAATAAGCCAGTATTCATTGCTACTCTACTCTTCCCATCTTTTTTCCGCACTATTGTTCCGCAATAAGTTCGAAAAGTGTTAGGTAACTGTCTTAGTTGTGCTATTTGAATTTTAGCCCGTAACTTTAACTCCCTTCCGTTTAGCTGGGCGCCTACGACGAGGGTATGGAGGTGTGGGGAGGGGAGAATGTGGAAATGTCGCTTCGAGTTTGGCAATGTGGTGGCGAACTACTCATCATTCCCTGCAGTCGAGTGGGGCACGTTTTTCGCAAGGTGTCTCCCTACTCCTGGCCCGGTGGTGTCACCCATATCCTTCATCATAATCTGATTCGGACAGCTCTTGTTTGGCTTGATGAGTTCGTAGAATTTCCATTCTCACTTGATTCCTGTAAGTTAGAAGTCGCTGTTTTTTATAAGTAGTGTGTGCGTATTTCCTGTTAATTATGACAAATTAAATGTACTTATCAACTGAGTTAGATTTCGGTCACTCAATGTTAAGTCATTTGAGGAATTGTCGTATGTGGCATGTAATCGTTTAGCTTTTATTACTACTATTACTCGTACTTAGAGGCTGTAAGTTATATTAAATAGTGATAGCGTAACTTTGGACAATTTACTAATCAATAACTTTTCTGTGGCTTAAAAATAACCAGTCACTGAATTGCCTTTAATAGTATCTATCTATCGAAGTGCTCTTGACGTGGATTACACACCAGCTGAAAGACACGATATAGATAAACAATGCAAACATATTGGAAAATAAAAATAAACGGAGTTATAAACATACTGATTCGGGCACGGATTTTTTTACTTTTCATTTAGCTTTGAGTTAGAACATTTATTTATCTATTTATATCAAATGGCAGGCGTTTTGATGGTTATCATTAGCCCTTTAGTTGAATTCAGGCTTCATAGAGGGGAAGGAACATCAAAGTGCAAAAGTCGAGATGGGGGGGGGGAACAGAAGAGTTCTTCGAAGATGTTAAAGAGACAGACACAATGGTAGAAAAAAGGTGAGGTGAGTACTGTGGAAGAAGTCGAATATGACATATAGTGGGGTGATGATAGTTTGAAGTGAGAAGTCAACTGCCGTTTTATAGACTTTTTTGCCGTATTAGTATACGTTGCCCAGGGTGAACCACGTGGAGGTAAATCTATCGCACACCCCGAGTTAGAACATAGAAAGCTGATGAAATATTCGAAACAATCTTTTTCTGACATTGGTCATTCTTTATTTCGTTTTTTCCGATGTTTTTTGTCAACCTAACAACACCCTTCTCTATGCTTCTTAATCGGCTGCCTACGTGGGTAAATCTAATTTTTTATTATGTTATTTTCCAATTTCTAAAAATTCGCCTTCCTTTGACTTCTTACCTTGTTTCTTTTCCCGTCATATACGCGAATGCTGAAATGAAAACAACTCTCTATTTGTCTTATCAAATGGCCTTTCTAGAGTTATTCTTGTAGTTTAAAATCTTGCGATTTCTACTCTCTTTGAAAGAATGTTTATTTATGTCAAATTGCAGGCTTTATGATGGTTATCATAAGCCCTTTTATTTGACTTCGGGATTCATTAGGAAGAGGAACATCAAAGTCACCAAAAGTCGAGGGGATGGGGAACAGAAGACTGATTCATAAGTGTAAAAGAGGCGCAGACACAAAGATGAGAAAAGGGAAAGGTGAGTACCGTGCAAGTGGTCAACTATAACAAGCAGTTGGGTCATAGTAGTTTGAAGTCAACTGCCGGTTAATAGACGCTTTTACCGTATGAATAAACGTTGTCCAGGCGGCACCACGTGGAGGTAAGTCTATCGCGCACTCCTCTTTGAGAGAAAGTTTTGTAGTAAATTAGCGCTTATCATTCTCAAATGAATTTGCGCTAATGCTGGTTTTGACTTCTCCTTTATCCTTCCAATGGTTTTCTGGTCTCAATCTCCTTTTTACCTTATTATTTTAGTGTAGACTGACTGAGAATAGCTTGGAAAAATAAAGAGATGGAAACTAATCATCAAGCTACACTTATCCGGTTCAAAGTATCTTTCACCATTTGTCTTGGTTATTCTGGAGCCTTTCCGATAAATTCGAATCTCGTAGACAACCACATCGATATGCATATATGTGACGTCTGAATCCATTGATTGGAGACTGAATGCCATCCGTAGCAGCAAAGTGGAGTTTCCTAAATCTTTTTTCATCAGCTGTGGTCGGTTATGGAAATTGCCTCGTGTCAATGAGGAGAAACTCTCTTTTTGTCTTAATTATCCCCAAATGGGTTTGTAATTAGCATCACAGAATGTTTCTCTGTGAATATTTGTAGATATCCATTGATGGTGCCTTTTTGTCCAATCAATTTTCGATTGGCCCTTAATTGGTTGAAATGGTACTATGCTTTCAACATTTAGGAATGGATTTTATCACTTTATTGCCAAACGGGGGGGGGGGGGGAGGGGGTGACGGTCGAGGAGCAACTAGTAGTGAATGGTTAGAAGGTCTTCTTAAGCAGTCTCCGTTTCAGATTATATGATCTTTGCCACGAATAAGGCGGAAAGCAGAAAAAGCACACACACACACATGATTTACAGCAAATAATTCAATGGAAAGAAGGACGATTCTTAAATTTGATGGATAAATAAAGTTGATTATGTTGTAGTTTCATTGTCAATAGATTATTAAGACTTGTAGTCATATTCTTTTCTTAATTTTGGATGCTATTATGATCTAAAATTGGCAGGTGCAAGTCGTTTACATCTTCTTTGCCGTATTGTGACTGTGTTCGTTTTATTGTCTTTTTAGCCTTGCGAAGCTATGAATACGGTAATATAAGCGAGAGAATCGCTCTTCGGAAACGTTTAAAGTGCAAAGGCTTCTCATGGTATCTTCAAAATATCTTCCCTGAGTCCAATATTCGGCCTCATCCCATTCGTTTAGGACAGGTAAGTAATGAACCCTGTTACCTTACTTCAAGCCTATCTTCTTGTGGTACTTGTGAGGCAGTGCATTGTAGTTTGGAATAAGGAAGGATGATAATAAATGTTTCCAGCTCTACTCGAGATATTTGTAGTCTTTTGTGGTAAGTTTTTGAGTGTGCGCACCAGTGAGGCAGTGGTCAATGCTCGCGTTTGAAACTACACTTGCATCCAATGATGGGTGAGTGGTCAACAAGAGCGGTTCCAAGTCAATCGATATGAGCACTTCTCCAGACTGACTTGTGAAGTTTAACAGTGTAGTAGTGCGTGCGATCGGTCTTATCGTTCAATGAATGTGGGCTGATGAGTGTCCAGTCCGTTGCCTGGGGCCTCGTACATTTGCAGCAGCACAGTCAATTAGTAAAGCGGAATTTGCTGCTACTCCACCACTTGTTGACACCAATGACTTGGAACGATTTTTGTGTGGAATACATCAGCATTATTAAGAAGCAATCTGACTTTTGATTATTTTGATTTCGGGGCTCCCATATTCACGGCATTGAAAAATGCCTCCGTCAAAGTGGTTCAGATAATAAAATACTACAAGTCAATATTGCAAAAATAAATCAGTCTAAAGCATACAAATGCTCAAATTTCTCTGACATATCGCTTCAATGTACTGGAATTTGAAATCTGTACACCCGAATGACATGCATCAATTGAATTAATATTCCAGAGTTTCTGGCCAGCGTCGTCTATTTAGTCGAACGCATCTACTAATCCTAATTAATAGTAGTTGAATTGTTTAATGTCAATGCCTCCCCCCCCCCTCCCCGCAGATACGAAATCCCGTTCACGGGGTGTGTTTTGACACCAACAATGGTCGACGGGGTCAGGCAATCGCTGCAGCTGTTTGCCGAAGCAGGGACAACACGGGCCCTCTCCAGACCTTTAGCATATCATCCGCCAATGAGATCACTGCTTCTACAGGCTGTCTGGGTGCTGCACGTCTCAATGACAAGCTGACAATTGGCCAATGCGAAAACACTTCCTCCAAATACCAGAAGTTTATCTATGATGAACAGGTGGGTCGGCGATTCAATCTTGACGTGGTTAAGTTTTTTATGTTCATGTTCTTTTTATCTTTTCCTTACCTTTAGACCAAGCATATCATTCACGAGCACTCACACCTCTGTGTCCGAGTTGATGCTACAAAACACGAGATGCCCATTTTTCTCGGTAAGTTAAGTCAAAGGACCACCAAGTAACCCCTCAACGTCTTGTTGTTGTGTGCTTTAAAACAGTATTAGGCCAAGATAATCTAGACAGGTATTGTTTACATTTTCGCGTAGGTGAATGAAAAAAATAACCTAAAACCATGGCTGTTGGTTAAATCGTGGCTTGTAAAGCAAAACGCCTAAGCGTCATCAATCGTTACGAAATCAATATGTGTTTATCTCTTGCTAAAGTAATTAAGTAAAGACGATTTCATTTTGATAGGGCTTATCCAGATGGTATGTGTTGTCGATAAACTTTATGTCAGGGTCATTTGTGGTTGAAGTGCTATTGGACTTTGCATCCGAGAGCAAATTTTCTGATGTAATGAACTGTGTCATCACGCGACCTTCAGTGGGAGTTGAATAGGTGTAAATCCTGAATACCCTAGGTCAAATCCCCTACCATTCTCTTCAAACTTTGAATCTCTAAGCTGCTTTTTATCAGACTTTAAAATGCTTATTCGTACTGTTATCATTTTAGTAAAACTCGCTTTATGAAGGCAACTGAACTTGGTAAAAAGTGTTGGTAGCAGGAACAAAGTGTATAAATATGCCTTTATTTCGCTCGATTTTTGAACTCCAAAAAATACGTAAACTATTCGTTTATAAAGTAAAGTTCACGCACTTCCAAAGTTCTAATTTCATTTTTATTCAACTAGGCTATTGAGCCTATTGTTGCCATCAGTGTCAACTTCCTATTGGCCGACTCTTTAATTATAATTTTTTAGTCTTGCCGCTTCCGCTCGTTTTTTTCTGCCAAATGTAGAGAAAGCAAAGTACTCTCCCACGATATTTGAGGAGATTAGGCAGCTCGTACTATTCTTGTATCTACTAATGAGTCTAGCAAAGTTTGTGGTTTATTTTGAATGATATTATTCTTCATAAGTTATGACGTAATTCGTTTGTAGCCAACTGTTCGACAAGTAACGAATTTGTCTGGGAATTACCACCTGCTTTCTTCAATCGAACTGCCGTTGCGAACTGAACTCAGACACTCCTTACAGCAATAACAACAACAATGACCATCGTCTTTCCCTCTCTGCGCGATGTCTTCCTTCAGGCCTATTCTAGTCGTTCAATAGCCCGTGTCTTTTAATCTCCCACTTTTCACCATCCTCATCCCGCACACTGTCTATTGTGTATTTTATTGATTTTTCGTTCCCCCCCCCTCCCCCTCCACCGCTGCAGTTCTGTCCTTCCTGCGACGATCAATTTGTACAATAGTCAAATTATGCAATGAATTTGATGAGTATCACGAAATGCCCTTGAACGGTGCATCAATAAAGGAATGGTGTTGTTACTTGTACTTTATTTCTTGTTATTGCTCTATTGAACTTAAAGCAGTGAGGGCTAATTTGAAGGGGTTTGTGATTGGATGTGCGTTGGTAGTGCAGTGGAAAGTGCGCACGCTTGGCAGCTCAGATAGCGCGTCTACCAGAGGTGTGGAAGGCCAGTTGCGATTATTAATTTTAGGTAGTGTGAGTTGTGGCGAAATACCGATTTCATGCTGGGGAATCCTTGCTTCTCTTAAGTCATTTATTGGAACAACTTCCCTTAATTCCATTGATTGGAATAGGAAGATACTGTGTCACCTGCTCACTTTTAAAGGGGAGGCGAGGACAATAAGTCTTATTACCAAAAGCGGCCGTTTGAAAGCAAGCTGGGGGTCATCGCTTATCATAAAACCTAGTTCATCGTCAGCCACGCAATGTCTAAAAAGCCTGATTCTGTATATGGGAGAAGGGGGGTGGTGGGGAGGTGTGAGGATTGACTTTCAGATCACAAGCGTACTTTAGTTTATGTTCGATAAGCTGTTAAGGTAACATGACGTATACTAGAAGAGTGCACTTCTCTAGTGCTCATCCGATCGCTCCTTTAAAGATCAGTACTATTAAGGAGTGGGGGGGGGGTGTTATTTCCAATTGCTAGCTATCAGCTGATGAAATTCACTCTCTGGGAGCACTACAACGTGCCTTACATTACGTCATTCCACCAAACGGACGCATGGTTGTAGTCGTGAGGAAATAAAGTTTTTTGAAGAGAATCAACTTTAAAATAAGAGCTGCATCCGGGATTAGCATCCTGATCTGTAGCGCTTCAACCGTTCTTTTCATGGAATAAAATTCAATGCAGCCAAAAAAGTGGGGCCCAGAATACTCTATTGATTCCTGATGTTCAGCGCAAAAAAGCAATACCGCACACTTGATTCAGAAGCCTAATAGGTAGTCGATAATAATTAAGCATTAATTGGTAAACTTTTCGTCATTGACTCTTGAAACCACTTTTTGTCAGATTAAAGGCTGATACGAGAAGTAAAATGAGATCAAATACAAATGTAACTCCTGTGAGACACCTCATCGCATGCCTGCACGCCAAGATTGGGAGGTGCGACCG